ATGTTCCCCTCTGAGTGTACTGGAATATCCAACTAGCTGCTGGGTTTTCTTTTAAATGCCTCTGTTCATATCTCACCCTGTCATTTTGTGGCAGAGTTAAGCCAAGCCAACAGTAGGCTGCTTTTAGCAAGCAGTTCCAACTACCTGCCCTCCCTCCCTGCATTTATTGGCTGAAAGCAAGCTCTTTCTGCAAGGTTTGTCTTCAGCTGGGTACCAGGAATGTGGTGGGAAGATGGTGAAGAAGGTAGGGTAGCTCCACAGAGCATCAGGGCAATCTTATGTCACCTTACGCTTACCATCCCTCTCTTTGGCCTTGTTGGGTGTTCTTACCTTCTGGTCTCTTTTCTTTGTTGGGTTGTCCTAAGCAAAATATTTCCTTGAGAAGGTGGAGATGAGGAAGGGACAGTTATCTCGAGAGGGCCCCCCCCGGCAATACTTTTTCCATCCACTTGCTGTGAACAGAGCCCATGTGGTCTCTTTTCCTCTTTCAAAGTCAAGTGTAAGGTTTCCTCATGTACTAAGAAACAAATAGATTGCAAACAATGGTTAATTTACCTCTATTTCCTGAGTTTGAAAGACTTTTTAATTAATCAGTGGAACACTCAAAAGTTGGGCCTTTTAAAATTTCCAGAGGGAAAGGTCAGCTTCTGAATTGCCTTACACGCTTGAAAAACTCTCTCTCTTGCTGTAATGGGGAAACTGGTCCTTTGCAGACTGATGCAGGCTCAGGTCTTGCGTCTCTTAATGAGACCGAAAAAGGGATTCGAAGGTGATACTGTCCTTAATTCTTGGAAGACTTAAGGATAAAAATTGGATCGATATTCCCTGCTAGCCAAATGGAAAGAACTCCTGAGGTCAGAAACGTCTGGGAGTCAGTAAAGGGCCCAGCTCTCCCTTTCAGGAAGAGATACAAAGACAAGAACTTTAAATACCACTTGGAAACTTAGCTTACTTTGAGCTGTGACCCCTAACATGCTTAGGTGTTTTATTGGATGTCAGTGACCTCTGAGGCATCAGTAATGTTGAGTTCTGCACAGATGAATGAATGCCAGGGGGATGAACCACCTAACCTTTGTTTTCCTGCAATTGCCAGAGTACTTCGTGTTGGAGGGACTGTTGTATTGCTGCTCAGTCAAGATCTCCGTAAGCACGTGGATGGCATTACGAAGCGTGTTGAAAATGATGGGTCTCCTAATGCTGTTTCTGATGGTGCAAATGAAACCGCTGCTGTGAAAGCCGTGAATATCGATGGGAGTTCTTCCTCTGCGGCGAAAGGTGTTGAACCCTTTCTGAGCAGCAGACAGATGTGTTTTGGGTCTCTGGTGCCAGATGGTGTCTATGGGGTTAGCCTGGGAAAGACAGATGCTTTCATATACAAATACAAGAAGATCTCTACTGCTGGGAATCGGTAGCTTTCTTGTGCTGTGCCTGAGTGACCTTGAATCGTGATACACCTGAAAGCAGCATGGTGGTGAGCCAGTGGAACCCTGCTAGTACAAAGCCTGTACTATTTGTTAGCTCACCTTATTTTATTTGGATGTGATAAGGTATTTGTTTTCCCTCTCCTCGGTATTTGGGAGAGGTAGAAGGTACCTGCTAGTGTTTTGATTTGTTGTAAAATACTGTAATGAGGCAGAGTCCTCAAATCCATGTTCAAGCAAAACCTCTCATTATCAGGGGGAGTTTCTTTGGGAGACAAGGATTTTGTCTGCAGCAGTACAAAAATTTGGGAATATTAAATGTAAATGGATTTTCACCTTGAGCAATTATTTTTAGGAAGCGCTTGTCTGAAGACGTCTCTCGCTCTTCTTGAGGGCTGGTTGTCCGCTCTGCCTCTGTGCGCATTGCGGTCTTGGATTATTTTAAAGCTAGTTTGAAATGTTGCTATTCAGAACTATTGGAGTGGAAAATAAACTATTTTCTATATAAATTCTTTGCAGCTGTAGCATGTGCCTAACAGGCCCTTTATGCTTCAGTTTCAGTGTGAAGAGACATATCTCTATAGCAAGTGGTGCTTTTCCTTACTAGATCATGTTACTCTAAGGACATAACGTGGAAGATGGGGAAAACTTTCAGGATGGGGGAGCAGTTGAAGGTGACTTCTGTCTGCAAAGAAGCATATGGAAAAACTCTCCTGAAGAGAGAGTTTAGTCTATGCAAAAGGTATTTTGGAGGGGACAGCCTTAACTCAAGGCTTTCTCACAGCTGCTCGGCCAACAGTGAAGAATTTCTACAAAGAATTATTGCAAATTGCTTTCAGATGATATTTTGGACAAGCATTTGCAGCTTGGCAAGCTGGGATGGGATCATGCATTGTGCTCCTCTGCCTCAATCAGTGCAGAGACAGCGTTTAACAGCATCTGTGCATGGTGTGGTTTTTTGTTTGTGGGGTGGGTGGGTGTGGTTTTTTCCTTCTGATTCTGAAAAGGTGCTTTGGCTGGGCAAGGAAAGAGACTTTAATCATCAGCTTAACTGCGCTTCTGGAGATTAAAACTTTCTGTTGTTAAGAACTGCTTGTGGAGCCCCTCCACCTTGATACAGTGCTAAGGTGTCTTTTCAATGAGATCATCGTGCTCGTGGGAAGAGGCCCCTGGAGGCCTCCAGCCTCCCTGTTGGAGCAAGACTATTGCCAGGGGTAGATCACATCAGCTGAGGCTTTGTCCAGCCAAGTCTTGAAAACATCCAAGGATGGAGTTTCTCACCTGTACGTGTCCCAGGGCCAGACTACCTTCCTAGGGGAGAAGTTCTCCTAATGTATGAACCTCCTAAGCTGCAATTTTTGGCTGTTGTCCCTTGTTACATTGTCTGATACTGCAAGAGTTTGGCTCTGTCATGTCTATAGCTCTTTCAAGATGTTGTTGGTTCCCATCAGATTTTTCCCCCTCAGCCTCTTTTTCACCAGACTAGCCAAGCCCAGCTCCCTTCCCTCACCGGTGCTGTGCTCCAGGGCCCTGACTGCCTAGGTAGCCCTCTGCCAGCCCCTCTCCAGTTTCTCCACGTCCCTCCTGAACTTGAGGACCCAACACTGGACACAATCCAGGTGGGGCCTCACCACTGATGAACAGAAATAATTCCCCTGGCCCTGTGGCTCCTAATGCAGCCCGAGATGGGGTTTGCCTTACCCATGGTGGGGGTACACCACTGGCTCGTGGTCAGCCCACTGTCTGCTGTAACCTGCAACCCTTCTCAGCAGGGCAGCAGCTCAGCGCAGAGCTCCCAGCCTGGCCTGATGCACAGGGTTATCCTGCCCCCAGGTGCAGAGCTCCATGTCTCCTCCTTGAATGTCACAAGGTTTTTGTTGACCCAGTGCTCAAGTTGCCTGAGGCCCCTCTGGATTGAAGTTCTGCCACTCATCATGTTAGCCATATTTTTTTTCCCTCCCCTTCACCCAAAGTGGAATCAAGATTTTTTTTTTTTCCTCAAACCTTCTTGGTGTTGTTAGATTACTGTTTAATGATCTAGCGCTCAGCTTATCCAGTCAGGATCAAGACCCATCAAGTAGTGTAAATGCATCTGGAGAGAGTATTTCTGCCTCAAGGTGGTTACTACAGAAGACAGGCTAAGTAAACAGGTAGGAGCTGACTGTAACAGGACCTAACTGTTAGGTGAGAAACACTGCTCTGTGCTCAGTGATAGAGCAAAGTGCAGAAATGTAGGGAAGACCAGCCGCAAAGCTGTGCTTAGCTTTGATTTATCCTGCTGCTGTTTCCTGGTGTCTTGACTGCTCCCAGATCAATTAATTGATCTGTTGGGTCTAAATCTACTTTGTATGATTGTCTTTGCCTAAGCTGCTATTGATTTTTTTTTTTTCCCCCCCTGCTTTCATTTAATTGACAGTTATTGCCTTAAGCCATGATACTTCTGTTCCACCATCCTTGCCTCCCATCTTCCTTCCTCTCCCATCCCTTTGTTTTTCAATCAGCCTTCCTTTCTCCCACTTCTCCCTTCTTTTCCCAGTCCTTTGCTCACAATGGTCTGTACCTGAACTTCTCCCTCACCATGCCAGCGTTCACGTTTATCTTGTACCATGCAACCTTAATTGCTGAAACAGCTTCTCCAGTGGCTCTGCTGCTTCAGCAGTGTCTGGTCTGCTCCTCTGCAAAGCAGGCTGTGCTTCCTGGATCTTCCGGCCAAGCTCTGTCCTTGTGCTCAGCAGGTGTGAAGCTCTGCTCTGACAATGAACGCACGGATGCCATGCTTTGAGGACGATACCGAGTTAGGTGGTGGCAGAAGAGGGTGAGTTTGGGTGAGTTAGGACAGATGCATCGACATGGCACTGAAGTTTCTTAACTGTGGGCTGGCACTGTCAGTTTGAGTGCTGTCTGATGGATTGGCTTGTCACTGTGATCTGTTAACTTGCATGTCACTTCAATTAAGCAATGGAAAATGCAAAGCGTTGTTCCCCGTTCCTTCCCTCCCATCCTGTTTTCATGGGTAGCTCCTTAGCCCAGAGAGGAGAGGTTCCCTGGGGCTCTAACCTTAGCATGCCGCGTTGTCGCACAACTACCGCTGATGTAAGCGCTATCCAGGCTATGACCCTCTTGGTTTATGAACTTCCTCTGCTTTGCAGAAGAGCCCAGTTCCAAGCCATGAAATTGCAGTCGACACAAATGCTTTTGACAGAGGCAGGTATTTTACTACAAACCTCATCGCTTAACAAAGAGGCTAATGTTCTCATATCCAAGAGGCCGCCTTGGAGGCCTGTAGGAGTCACTTAATCCTTCTCACAGTGCAGCTCAGGTGCTCAGAATGGAAATCCTGGTCACTTACAAATTACACGGGAACTTCAGGTACAAAAGGGAACCAAGCTGGAGTATTGTTACAGCAAACACTTGCTCTGGATATGCAAGAAGACGCACGCTGATTTTTAAAAAGAAGGGTCTGTTCGAGCAGTGGCAGGGGCAAAACCTTCCTTTAAGGTCAAGTGCGAAAGGCGCTGAATTAAAACATTATGCATGATGCTCTAGGGAAGGGGGGATAATTCTAACTAGCATTCATTTGGCAGCAATAACTTTCCTTGGTTTCTTTATGCACAGACACTTGAAAAATAGAAATAACCCTAAATTCTTGCAGTGACTTTCCTCCCCCCTCCTTTAGCCATCCAGTGCAAGTATCTTCCTTTATGCCCGCGTAGCATATTGAACTGAAACAGCTGATTCTGTCCTGAGAGCTGTCTCCTTTTCCCATCTGTCTGCTGGGCAGCATGGGAGAACAGTTTGCTGGGCTGGCAAAACATGACAGTCAGATTTTGAAGAATCAAGTTTTTGTGCTTGGAATGCTGAATTTAGTTTTTGCTTCTATTTCTTTTAGTAAGTCCTGAAAAATACCGTTCAGCCATCACTGAGCCATGCTGGCGAAGGGCGGGCAGTCATACGGAGGAATCTCTGGCGGACTTCAGCTGCATAATCTTGCTTCTGCTGACAAACGGGTAAGCTGTGCAAAGACACCCAGCTGCTACTGTAAATCCCAAACTGCACCAAGCACAAAATATAGACCAGCCGTATCCATGTTCTACATCATCAGGAAGACTGTAGTTGAATTTGGGGAGGCGGTTTAGATCGTATGATATGCTGGCCGCATAAGCGCACAGAGATGTAGTGCAAAATATTCCTGTAAATGAAACCATCACATTAGTATATTGAGATGAAGCATAAGGTGAATAACAAAACAAATGTTAAGCCTTTACTAATCAAATAACTTGCACCCAGTTGTGTTGATCTATGTTATCTTGGGTAGCACATAAAGCTTTAGTATGTTACCCAATTATACAAGACTGAGCCCTAGTTCTGTGGTTGTGAATTGTATCTCCTGAACTTCCTGGTTGCTACTTTTAAGAATAAAAGAATCTCCTCCATGACTTTCGTCATGTCTCTCTGTTCTGCCCTTACAAACAGAGCAAGGTAGCTAAAGCCTCCATCTGCGATCAGCTCTGATCCACGTGACAAAATCGCACCAAGCAAGCTAGTGTCGCGACACAGAATCCCCTCCGTGGGAGCACTCCCTGCTGTACGCCTCGGAGGAGCCAGGAAAAAATTGTTTTGCGTGTGCTTTGTGTAACCTGATCTGAAGGGTTTTGTGCAGGTAACCTACCTCTGTGTACGGCCCTCACCAGCCTCCCACGACATACCTCTACTGAGAACTGCTCATGCTAAATAGCTCTCCAGCCGTCTTGCACACACCCTTTTCCCAGCCTAGGCTTTCATTGGGTTGCTTTTCATTAAGCATTTTTCGCTAGGCTATGTTTTTCATTAGACAGCTAAATTAGCAATGCACGAGCCTTTCCTTGGGCCAGTGCCTTTCAAATTTTTTTTTTATAAGATAGCTGCTCAAATCAAAATATTTCCTCTAGCACATGAGCCTTATGCTCATCCTCATGAATTTGGATGCTTCAAACATCTGCTGGTTTCTTTTGGGAGGATTTTTACCTCTTCTTTCTCTCCTAAATACCCTTGAATTTTGTAACCAACATTTTTTTTTAATTTTTTTATTCCCCTCCTCTCTTTTCTATTATTAAAAGAATCATATAGTCAAACACCAAGGACTGAAAACTGCAGCAAGGGACCCTTTCCGGTCTGGAAAACAAAGATGGCTTAATATGTAAAGGAGGGGGTTTGCTTTAGCCCTGCAGTCCTTTCCTGCTGTTGCATGAGGCTTAAAATTTCTTTCCTCAGGTTTTTTTGTTTCTAATTATTGGACGTTGCACTTGTCTGAGTAAGCAACTCATTTCGTGCAAGAGACAATAAGTGGAGATCAGAAGGAAAGGTGTGCTCCGTTTACTGGCATCGCACGCTGCCTGCCCAAGGGGAACCTGGTAAAGCTTTCGTCCATAATTAGCATGCTAGAGTGACGTGTTACGTGTCATAAGGATCAGAAGGCCTGCAACGTGCTGGGTGAGGCTTTCTTCCCCAAAAAAAAGCTGACTGCTGCTACGATACACCTGCAGAGAAGAACTGCTGCAGCCATGCCCAGGAAACCAGCTGTGATTCTTCTCAGGTCTGTTTCCACCAAAAACAAGAAAGAAAGAGTGGGCAGTACAACAATGGTCATGCCTTCCACTGCAGGAAGGGGAGTGATACCCAGAAATAGCCACAAGCCCAGCTGGCTGGGGCTGGGCACACCCACAGTAGGAGTAACCTTAGACCTACAAGTACCTTTAAGTAGAAAGTGATCTTTTCCAGGATCAAAACAGCTAGACTGTTTTCTAGTTGTGCTATAAGCTTCCCTCTATTATATGAAGCTTCAGGCATATAGCATTCAGGATGCAGGTGCAGCATGGATGTATGCAGACACACAGTGGTATTTTCTGTTTGTTCTCTGTTTCCTTCTAGAGTTAAATTTAAAGCAATGTGGATGGGCAGAAATGTTCTTGCTCCACTTTCTAATTGCTAGGGAGTTTCCTTGCAGACAGGTTCTGCCATCATTGTTTAGCATGTGGTTTCTGATGTCAGCTTCTGAAACATCTGCTAGTGGATGTTTTCCAGAGACGACAAAGCACAGGTTTTTGACCCAGCATCTGCAGACCCTTAGGGAGAGGGGAAAGGTGATGTTTCTGTGAAAGGTGGCTAAGAGAAGCAAGCTTACAGGCAACAAGCTTAATTCATTGCATGTGGCATTCGCACTTTCCTGGAATGATTGTGGCCTACAAATAGAAATGAGGGTGAAAATGGCTGATGGCCAGACCCCAGTGGGACACTGCTTCCACAGCCCCTTCCTCTGTGAACTAGTGTCCCGTTGCTGCCCTTTTCATATAAAAAGGGGAGCGTGGGGCAGTGACCTCCCTGGGGAGTGGCAGGCTGCGCTGAACATTTACGGAGCAGATGCCATTCATCTTGCTGGATCGCCTTCGTCAGGTTGAAGGGGACGTTGCGCAAGCGTATCGGCGGGGAGAAGTGGTACTTGATAGCGGTGCATCTCTGGGTGATGCCTGCCAGAGAAGACCACCAGGTAATTGAAAGCAGCCCCTGTCTCCCCTCAAAAGCACTGGGAGTTAGTCCTCTTCTTCATAGCTCATCCTTGTCACCTTGTCCTCATCTTCCCTGGCCCTATGCCATGTGCTGGGCGCCTGCCCTTCCCTTTCTTCTCTGACTACTCAACTATTGTCTGTGCCGCCAATGCCAACGCCTGTGACCTGGCTCCTTTGGAGACCGCTGTTGGCCTGCTGCACTTGGGAAACTACCCATGACATGAGAGCCTTAATTCCAGCCCCCAAATAAAGGCATCCTGCTTCCCTCTAACAGACCAGGAGCGTTTCCAGACAGGCCTGTAGGAACAGGGGGAAACGCATACTCCTAGCCTGCTGAGTAAAGGCAGTCAATGCGTTGCTCCTCCTCGTGCTGGAGTTCGTGCCTCTCCCAGCAAAGACAAAACTTTCCCAGAAAAGGCCTGTGCTGCAGCATGAGAAACAATGCACTGACTAATGCAAAAGCACAGGCAGGAAGTGGCTGTTGCTAATCTCTTCCAAGCAGCCCATGCTGGCCTGTTGCAGCACTGGATGAGCTGCACCTTGACAGCAGTGAATTTGCAGGGGAGAAGGAAGAGATGGGGAGATTGCACTTGATGCACTTGGACCTCAAAGGGTGGGGGGGTGAGTGCAGGGATCTGGCTGGATTCCAGCTGTCAAGTGATTTGCCAGTGACAGATACCCCCAAATGGCCACTGCTGGGCAAATGCTGCAGTGATGTGCCATGCCTCATTCGTGCGGGGATCGCTGCCCTGGTGTGTCCCTTCCATATTTGGGGTATTTTTGCCTGCCCTTGTTCTTAGCAGAGCAAATGACAGCACAAACTGTCGCTGTCTCCAGACTGTCTGCGTTATCATCCTGGAAAGATAAAGGTGTTTTTCTTCCAGTACAAAGCACAAGTGTGCGTGCGTGTGTGTGTGTGTGAGCACAACTGTGAAGTGCAATGGAAAAGCCTCCCGTTGGAGGAGAGTGGGGGGAAAATGGCCAGGCTGCGGCACTGCTTTTTCACACTCTTGCATTAGTCATCCCTAAAAGTTTGAGGTTTAGCTCTTTTCCCTGGACCTCAGGATTGACTTCAAAAGGAGTGTACCAGTAGAGGACTGGTGTGCTGGAGCCCCAGGCCTCTCACAACTGGAGCCAGCTGGGCTCGAAACCAGCCTTAGCTCATGTGTTTTCCTTGGGGTACTGTTTACATCCACCACCAACCAACCCTGGGACTAACACAAACCACAGCTTTTCCCCTGACCGCGCAGCCTTCAGCATCTCAGACGCATCTGCCTCCTGAGATCCCACCACCCTTAAGCGGATGCTCTCTGGCCCCTTAGAAGGACATCCTCCATCTCCTCCAATCTCCTAAGCAAAGAGGACAGCCTGGCCCCAGGCCACCTCTGTGAACGAGGATAGATACAGCACCTCTCCCTTACATCCAGCACAGAAAGATGCTGGCAGGGAGGGCTGGGAAGACTCCTCCAACGGAGGCGAATCGTACCAGCATCGCCATGCTGAAGCCAAGAGAAGCGTGCCAGTGCGCGCCTGCCGAGGAGCTCCAGGTCTGAGCAGCAGCCAGGATTTGGGGCTGTAGAAAACAAAGCGGTATTTCGGATCTCGGCAGCATGGAGGGGTCATGAGCACAGCTGGCCCTGGAAATAACACCACGTCCAGCCTCAGCAAGGTGTTTTTGTGGCTGTAAGGTGCAGGTGATTGCGGATTAGGTTTGTGATCCCTAGAGGCGCAACAGTACAACGTCACAACAATTCCCAACATCAACCAGGAGACCTCTTCAAGCATGAGCTCTTTTCTGCATCTCTGTTCCTCGGCATATGCGAGCTTGGCTGAAACCGGTAGGAATTGCAGCGCTAACATTTGCACCTCCAGTAGGCTAACAAGAACTGTTCACCTTACCCTCCATCTGGTAAATGTTTTTGCGGGCAGGCCTTGAAAACGTTCAACGAAAGGTGCCCGTGTTACTTTTTGTGCCTCAGACTCCCTCTGCAGCATGGTAATGACCTCCAAAATGGGATGGCAGAGAGAACAGCGTGGGAGCTGCTCCCTTACGAGGGGGCTTTTTTAAAAGCATGAAACAGGGTACGTGCTGGTACACCCCAAAGCCAAGCTATCTACTTACCCCAGATAACCGTGGCCAAAACCTACATCCCAGCGCATCACCACACGTTCAGTAGCGTTGAAGGAGAGGAAGCGGGAAGATGCTTGGCTGAAGCGTCACAAAAAGGTTTCGCTCCCAGGTGCAACTTTTATTGAGTGAGCGTGACCCTTCCAAAAGGGATCGAAGAGCAGCTCGGCCTGACTCCCTGCAGCACGCGGCTAGAGCATCCCCCCCTCCATAACCACATTTCATCAACAGGAGGAAAAGTTGGAAGCAGCAGAAGCCACCCCACAACTCGGGGAATGAAGTGATGCCTGTTGCCAATTTGATCCTTTCCTGAAGGTAGAGGGGAGTGTGTTGCTCTCCGCTCCATCTGTCTCTCTTACCGCAGAGAAGTTACAGACGCTACCAGAGAAACCCGGGGGTGTTTTTACACGAGCAGAGGAAGCACAGGGAGCTGCCATGGATAGAAAGCAGGAAATAAAGGGGAGGGGGGGGGGGGGAAATCCTGCTTGCTTCATTCGTATCCCTTTCTACCCCAGCAGAACCTGGCAAGAGCATGACATGGGAGCAAATATAAACCATTTCCCCTCTAATGAGATAAAAATGAAGACTGAAAGGTAAGAGCAGTGATGAGGATATCAGTGCTCTCCAGCAGGATGTCCTCTAGCCTTTCCGGACAGAGCTCAAACTCCCTGGCGTTTCCTTCCGTAACTCGTTCGCAGCTGCTGCTACTCCCAAACTTGTAACAGAGCCCAGTCCCTTTGGATCGGCTCTTCGAGCATCTGTGGCGGCCCTCTTCAGCTAACCTACTCCTGCTGCCTTTCCCGGCTCCTCTGGCAGCAGAAAGCAGCCCAACGGGGCCCCAAGACCCCAGTCACTCGCCAGCCAAAAAAAAAAAAAAAAAAAAACAAAAACCCCAAACACATTCCGGCACGCTTAAA